GATTGAGTGGTTAAATTGCGAAAGAAAAGTTATTTCGATATTTGAATTGTATAATCAACTCAATATTTGTCTGTATACGTAAAATAATTTAAAATACTTGAAATAATTTTCGCAAAATGCTGAGGATTACTTCTAACACTTTTCAATTCTAGTATCTACTCGTCGGAGTATATAACATAAATATTACTGTTATTTATTAAAATATTATTTAAATGCGAAAAATAATTTGTATTAAAGTATTTTTATAAAAATATATACAGTTAAAAAATTATCTTAATTATATCCATAATTAAAGAAAAAATTGAATACGTTGAGAAAAAAGGCTCTCCTACTTTACGAATAAAGGAAGATTGTTGGCTTTAGACCTGGTGGGGATAGAAAAAAAAATTATAAAGTTAATTAGAACCTTTATAATATGAAAAATAGTTTCGAATAGATTTACGATGGAACAGATATAAAAATTTTTTTAAAAAGATTTATGAACAAAAATATATGCTATATAGAAGATAAAGAGAAATAGTCAAATTCCATTAAATAGACTTTAAAATCTGAGAAGCCGAAGAAATCTATTTGGATTGATATTGAAATATTGATTTCGAAATCTGATATCATATTCAAAAGTTTCTGTTAAATATCAATTTATTTTTTGAAAAATGATTAGCGTGAATATTACGAAAATTTGTTTTCTTTTTATTAGATACATTGTTAGAAATTTTAAACATATTTAAAATAATTTCATATAAATTAATTTAAAAAAAATTTATAATCGAAAAATATCATTTTGATGAATCGTCACAATTTTATTCATAATAAAAGATCGTATAATAAAATTATAAAAATTAACATTATTTATTTTTCATGCAATTTTTAATTTATGTGTTCAAACATAATATTAACATATTTGAATAATTATTGTTATAAATACGTGATTTAAATACACATTAAATTAAAATTAAAAATATAAAATTTAAAATACTAGGACGGATTAATAAAGTTCATATATTTACAGAAGATATTGATAAAAATGCTTTTAGTCTTATTATTCCGCAAATTAACAATTAAACGACTTTATATCTTTTTCAGAATTTTTATGTATTCAATTAAATAAATTGTTCGTAAAACTGACACTCATAAATTAATCCGTTGGTTATTTTCATGGATAATAATTATTTTTAGATATTAAAAAGATTATATTTTGTTTGTTATTTTTAATAGGAAAATGCATATGAAGTCCTAAAATAATTGTAAATATAGAAACTTACTATAGTATAATGATCTAGTATAACGACTTGAAATAATTAAGACTAAAATTTCCTTCCTATTCATTTCCAGTAACAGAGTTGAAGATTTCATGAATTAAGAAAAATAAATTTACAATTTATATGTTTATAATTAAATTTATGTTTTTAGTACCTAATAAAAAATAAATAATAAGACATAATAATTGTATAATAGTGTAATTGTAAAAAAGAAAAAAATATTGCGTGTTGAAATGTTGAATTATCGATGTGAGAATGATTATAAATTAATATATTTTAAAATAACAAAGTTTTAAAACAGTTATTCTAATAAATAGAAGCCTAATTTTGTTAACAAAAAGTTATAACTATTGCTATAAACGTTTACTATAAATTCAAAAACATATTAATATTCATTTAAAAATATACATTCAGTGCCAATTTATCTGTGTATTAAAATATAATTTTATTTACCAATATATAACTTATACACTTAACACAATCACTGAAAAAATTAGATTGATTTTTGTAATTATGATGAATTTATTGCTAGTTTTACATATAATTTTTGAATTTTTTTAATACAAATATGAGAATAGTGTGACAACATAGGTCAATTAGAACAAAAGTGTGTCATATGCAAATACTTAATTTTTTTCATTTTAAGTTATTCTGAAAAATTTAATTCAAAGAAAATCGTAAACTATTTTTTTTCATCTATTACATTCAATAGAAGTTTCATGCTTAAATTACAATCTTTAAATACATGATATTTTGCAAACGAGTAATTTATTGTTAATGTATTATTTATTGTTTCATAAAATTTGAACAGATGTGAATTATAGGTTAAATTATCTCGATTTTTTAAAATTAGTATATCAATATAGAGTTTTATAATAAAACTAATTATAATATTTATAAAAAAGTATTCTTATAAAATAATTCATCATTTTAACTGCACAAAATTTGTAAGATATTGTGATATAATAATTTAATTTCTATAGTTCATAGGATTATATAATTATTACAAAGAATGATATTATTTAGGATAATAGAAATTAAATATTTACTTAAACATAATTTATAAATTTCAATTTTTATGTCGCTATGATTATGTGAAAGAAAAAATTTAAGATGATTTTTTTCATCAATCAATTCAAAATAATGAATAGCAGAATATTGGAATGTTACCAAAATCGTGTGAAATAAAATATAATTATTATATTATATTATTACAATCAATTGTTTAATCTATCATTAAAATTGATGTAAAATTTTTTCATATGTTATAAAGTAATTACAAATCTATCATTTGAAAAATATGTTAGAGGGTTTAGTATGCTGTTATAGTACAATTAAATCAAATTAACAAGAACTTCGATTTAATTATATTAACATCCTATTTTCTACGTATGTATCTGTATAATTTTTTTATATTTTTTAATCTAAAGTTGGATTTGTTTTATATCTATAGATTTCAGACTCACTACGGTAGGATATAATATATATATGTCAAGATTTATGTAAATAAATCAACAATAATTTATAAAAAATTTTGTATTTAAATATTTTTTTAATATGATTTTAATTTAAGTTTAAAAACTAAATATTTTCTTGTATTTAATTTTATAATATTTTTGTTTATATGTCTAAATTTGTTGTTAAAAACTTTAATGTACATTAATGGAAAATAATTTCTGTAACTTATGTATTACATTTATGGGAACTTAATTTTTATAAAATATAACTGATTGTTGGGCTTGTTATTCTTAAAAATTCAAATAATGTCGAAGAATAAGAAAAAGGGATAAAGAAAACTCGGTACCAGCGCGTACAAAGCATACACTACATCGCTAAAAATCTATTACACGCATTGTTGTAAATTTAGCCAATACATACATGCAGGAACAACCAATTATTCGAGGCGGAAACATATTTGTAAAAGTAGTCCAAGCTTTGCCCTCAAATTGCCGTTTGACCCGAATAGCTTTGTACTCAATAAGTATTTAATTCGTGGCTTATGTCCACGCAAAAGAGTAGTACAACTGTTAGAAGCAAAGAGTTACTCAGACAAATGATTTATATCATATGTGAATTGGTCTCCGTATTCCTTCAAATACCAGCTAGCGTTACAAATACAAAAAATGTATTAACAAATTTAAATTATGATTATAAATATAAATATATACCGTCAGATTATTAGTTATTTTCACAATGGATTAAATTTCATATGAAAAAGAAACAAATGAAAATATATTTTAAGGATACAAATCAGAGATCAAAGTTTATTTGAAAATTTATGTAAATCATTTTTATTTATTATACGATCGATTTTTTCATCTTGGTTTTGAATCAGATTTAAGGTGAAATAAATTTTAATAAACTAATATCATATTTTCTTTTATTTTCAATATCAAGTTTGTACCATAAAATGTAATACATTGCTGTACAAATATTAAATGTTTATCGTATAAACTCTAATTATTTTTTCGTAATTATTTTTTTTTTTTATAATGTCATTTAAATCTTACTTATACTACACTAATAATAAAAGTTAAATAAATTTTTAATTTGAATTTTATTCTTAAAATTTATTTCATTGTTGGAATATTTAAAAATAAATATTTATTTATAAATAAGGTAGGGAGTATTTTTTATTTTAATATCTTAATTAGTCTAAAACACCAATTTTTTTAGCCTTCTATTTCATTTAGGTATTTTTAAGACGTGAAATTTTTTTAATTATAAATTCAAGTTAAATATGAAAAACGGAAAGTAATTAAATTTTGTTAATTAAGAATCTATAGTGTTTATACCTTATGTTTGATATTCTTGTTTGAATATTTCTCATGAAAATTAATTTTTAAAATTTTAAATTTCAATTCCTAAATTAATAGTACATTAATAATTGTAACACAATATTTGTATCTAAGTATTATAATTTCTTATAAATCTCCTTATTAATGTAGTTTTTATTTATATTAGCGTCAAAAAATAATTTGTATCTACAATAAATTTTTAAATAGGAATATAAAAACATAATACTTGTATTATTAATAAAAATATCTTATATAGTAATGAAATTATTAAAATTAGATTAAAAGTTTTTATACATATTCTTTGAAATCAAAATTTAAATAATTTATTTAAAATTGTACGTGTATGGGTAAAATTACATTGGGTATATTTATCACAGAAGTTGGATATACATTTTTTGAGTTTAAAAATTGACTTCATAAAGTGATAAATAGTATATAAATATAATGGTATTTACAATTGGTAATAATCATTATATATTGTTTAACTTTTAAGTAAAAGAATAATTTAAAATATTTATCTGACAATAAATATTTATGGCTGCACGTATTTATACAAATTTCTTCATAATTAAGAATATTTTAGCTTTTGATACATTTTTATACATACATATTTAATATCTTGGTAATTTTTTTTATATGAATATTACAACAATATGAATACTTTTGAATACTTTGTTGACAAAAGTCTATTTATAAAAAATTTCTAGTTGGCTTGTTGCATTTTTTGCTCAAATTAATCTTAAATAATCTGCATTGATTAATGATAAAGTATAATTTGACATTATATAGTAAAATTTGAGGATTAATGCGATAATAATATCCTTAATAAATGGTCTGTAGTTACAATTTGATAGGCAATGCTTTTAAGTTTCATACTGTCTAAAAGTATATGTATAATGGATCGCAGCTAATGTCAAAGATTTAAGTGAATATGAGCACTCACCTATCGACTGATATCATGCAGAGATTCAGAATGCTGGCTGTGCAGCTAAGTACGTCGAAGCTGACCCAGATCTCGCACATGGTAGGTCCGAAGGACCAATTGCCCTTTATCTCATAGAGCATCGCCATTGGCATTACCAGCAAAGCGACGCAGAAATCGCTGACAGCGAGGCTGACCAGTAGATAGTTGCACGGCTTGCGCAACTTCTTCACTAGAAATACTGCGACGCAAACCAGTATGTTACCAATTACTGTGCCGATTATTATACTTCCAAGTACCAGTGCTAGCAGTATTGCCTATAATCAGATAAGAAATTGGTGTAGTTTGGTGACTTGCTCACTCAGGTAGGTGCATGTCATTAAATATTGAAACGTCGTATCAATCAAATGTAGCGCATAGAAGGAGTTGTGAATAAAAATTTAATAAAAATGTAATTGGCAAAGATTTATTATTATATATTGTAATACTCATAAATATATTTCTAAATACTATTTTAGCCTACTATTTTTAAATAAAATTTAGTCTATTTAGATAAATATATCTAAGTATTGCAAAATTAGGACATTGCGTTGTTCAGTATATTGCAAATTTTATTCTAAATATTACATAAAAAAAAGAAGAAGAAATGTAATTTTGAAATAAAATAATATTTACCTTTTTGCCAAATTAAATTGTATATCAAGAAATATTTCACTTAAATTAATGCAAGTTTATAAAATATGTTATTAAATAAGATTATACAAATACTTTTGTTATCAATAAAATATTTAAAATTATATTGTAATCAAAATTACATTTTGACAGATGAAAATCATTTTATTATTCAACTTACAATAAATTACATAATTATAAAAATTATAATCATCTATATAGTCTTAGATGAAAATAAAAACTATAATAATTGAAATTAAAAATTTAAATTATAAGAAATGTATGCATTTTTATTGATATTAGTTAATATAAATTATTTATTCTGTATAATTTACCTTTATCCTTAATTTTCAAAATTTATGCCTTATAAAAATGAATATAAATATATTCATATGTATAAATAGATTTATTCCTATAAAATTTAAATAAATAAATAAATATATATATATATATATAAACATTGTTCATCAAAATAGGGATGCGATAAAAAATAAATTAATTTTCAAAAATGTTTTTAAAGAATTATTTCATGATTGAAATTGTGTTTTTATTACTGGCAATATCATAATAGAATAATTTTTTTTTCGTATATTATTAGTGTATTTAAAATTTTAAATATTATATGCTAATTTAATTTTAAATCTCATGCGAACTTATAAGAACATTTATTTGAAAAGGAAATGTTAGCCGGGATTTGTTTTTGTAATTTCAAAAATCTATATGAAACATAATAATAAAATTAATATTTTGGCACTTAAAATTTTATTTTAAAAGTATTTATACATTCTATTTTATTTTTTAAAGCTATTTTTTTCAATTCAGTATTTTAATACTTAATAACAATCAATTCCGCACATACTGTTGAACATATTATAAATTCAAGTAATTGAGTTACTATAAAAGTTTTTGATATTTGCATTGTTATAAAAAATTAAACCGCTATAAAGTTTTAAAAAATTCATGTTTTTTAAAGATGTATTATTTTATAATAAGTAATAAAAAAAATTATGTTAAGTCGGAAGATTAAAAATTAGAAAAAAAATAAATAAATCGATGTGCTGACTATTTATTGCATAGTGATGAAGCGAACATTTCGAAAGGATTGCATGAATAGACAAAAAAATAAAATTACGTGAAAATGATTACGATACAGAAAATTTTTATTACTAAATAGAATTTATTAATATTATATCTGTGGTAGATATATTGACTCAATAATATGGTGCGTGTATCGTAAAATAATTGTAATTACACTATAAAAAATATAAAATATAAAATTGATTTTTAATGAAAGAGCTAATTGTAATTTGAGTTAAAATTATCAATTAATATGAAAACACTGAAATTTATGTTTGTTCATCTATTGTACATCAATATAAATTTTATCTATTAATTCATCCTATATTCATTACTGTATAATGATGTTTTTCAACAGTTTCGCAAGCCGTAGCGAAGCCATGTTATTATAGTATGTATAAAGCAAATCTTGTGAGAATCAGGTCTATGGAGATTGGAATCATTAATGAAATTTCTATTTAAGAGGAAATTTCTATTTAAGATTTTAGTAAAAATGAGAATTTTTGTATTTTTGTGACTCGATAATACTTTTTAACTATTTAACTAGAAAAACGTGAATAATAATAAATATATCTGAAATGATTTTACATTTTTCATCTTATAATCATAGAAATGTGTAGAAAAGTGTTATTCAAGTGTAATAAGTATTCAAAAATTTATTTTTGAATTACGATGAAAAATAATACTTGAAATGTTCTCTTTTTAAATTTTTATCGATAAAATTACATGAGAAGTACCTATTGAGTATTAATTTACGGCGCATACAGCGAAAATTTTATACTTACATTAGCCTACATAATAATACTTATAAAAAAAAAAAAAAAAGTACAACGAATAGTTTCAGGAATAAAACTTTACGAACTTTACTTATATTGTGATTCGATAGTAAGTAATGTTGAAAATCTTTTACAAATAAATAAGTTTATTATTTACATACCCTTGTAGTAGTGTACGGCGAGTTCTTGCCGGGGAATCCCCGGAAGAAGCTGTCGGGACTGTGGTCGATGTTCGGTGGCGTCAGGTTCAGAAACCAGGTGCTCTCCGTACTTATTACTTCCGACCCCTCCATACGATTCTAACCAGATGACTGGAGCATCCCAACGGCTCCTAAGCGCATTTTCATCAGCCCTTGTACCCCCGCGGCATCTTGGCCAAGACGACACGACGAGCCTCGCTAGCAAGCTACTGATGGGCATTGATGCGAGAACACGCCGTTGTAGTTCAACCCCGTCCTAGAGCACAAGTCGAATCCCGTAACTTTAACGATTTCGCCAACGGCATGTGTTTTCGTATCCTTATGTTGGTGTCTCTAATGCACTTGAACTTAACTAATTCTGAAACCCGAAAAAAATTGCATCTCAATTGCAATAATTGACATAAATATTGTCATCTATGATGACATATAATTGTCACCTATGTTGATGAGCTCAATAGTTTAATAAAAAAATTCAAATTATTTTGATGAATTCTAATTTTTCTCGTTATACAATATGTACCTTAAGAGCCACGTTAGAAAGATATTTTTAATACATCAAAATTGCATTTTTATGTTTTGAATAGTATCGCTGATAAAAGCAGACGTAAGGCAATCAAATTTATTAAACAAAAGGTAATATAAAATTATAGGAATTTATTTTTAACGGATATAATGTTGAGATCAATAGGAGAAAATTGAAAAATTTTATTAACAATATTTTTCTTAAAAGAATTACTATATTTCTACTTGCACTTGACAAATATTACAGAGAAATATATGAATTTCTTAGTTCCTTTGAAAATTGAAGTTGGAACTACAATCTCATTTCTTACCCTTTCATGTTTTTAAGATATTTATATTTCATTAAATTTTCCGAATTTCTTTATATATTATTATATTTTATAAATTTCTTTCGAAAATGAATGAAAATACTATTTGATATTACTGATTTTAATATTAATACATTTAAGAATGCAAATATTTTATAAAACAATAATACGCATAGTCACTTTTAGAATTAAAATAATAGCAAAATAAGCAGCTACTATTGTTAATATTGAATAAAAATTTTAATTCATTACATGAATAGTGAAAATATAAAGCCTTAGTAATATGTAAAAAGTCTTTATAATTGATGAAATATATATATATATATATATATATATATATATATATATATATATTACCCATAAATATTTTCTTCTTTTAAAGTTTTCTTATATCGCCATCTTCTATCAATTAATATATTTGAGCATATTTTGAAAAAATGTTCATCGATATTATTAAATAGATTTTATTGCTAACAATATTCCGTATATAATATGTGTAGGTTACGTAATCGATACATGAATCAATATCATATGGTTGTGTTGTATATTTAAATTGTATGCGCTTGTTTTTCACTTTTCTTTTTCTTTTATTCTATGTGTGTAACCCTTTCCTGCTCTTTCATTCTTCCAATTTATTAACTATTAATTAAATATATTGGGAAATATTTATTAAGTATCTATTCTAATTGTAAAATTTTGTTTACGAAATACTAAATTTGTGAGTACGAATTTTCCATATAAGAAAAGTACACTCAATATAGTGTATTATCATTATTTTTTAAACATATTTTTTGAATATTTCTTGTAAAATTCACACAATGCAGTCACATAATATATTAAAAATAAATAATATTATGTAAATAAAGTAAAATTAAACTTGAACAGTTAAATAACAGTGAAATAACTGTAAACTATTAAATGGTTGACTTGACAAAAATTTATAAAATGATGCTATGATTTTAAAAATATTTACTTAGAATTTTGTGGACTAAATGGAATAAAAGTATTCAAACATTAATCTTAGGAATGAAATTATGTACATAAATGAAAAAAATATAATATTCAAATTCTTTTTAGTTTCTAATTAATAAGCTTTTTTACATTTCGAAACTTATTTATTTTTGAAAATCAATATTGAAAATAAAATAAAACACGACAAAATTTGAAAATAAAATAAAGTATGACAAAATTGGAAAATAAGATAAAATACGACAAAATTTGAAAATAAAATAAAACACGACAAAATTTGAAAATAAAATAAAATAAGATTTGAATATAAAAATAATATAAAGTTTCCTAAGTAATATATAGAATTTATAGTTGCAAACATATAAAGGTACCTGAAAAATCTAAATAACAAAGGTTAAGACTTTTTTTATTTTAAATTATTTGAAAACTTATTTGAAAATCGAAAAATAGTGGTATTTAAATAAGTATTTTGAGCTATTTTCATATATTTATGACATTTTCTTTCCTCTAGTCTCAAGAGTCTAAATATAAATTCTATAAATTACCTATATGAATAAATGATTTTATTTTATAATATTAAAAAACATAAATTTATCTTTAAACTAAAAGTAGAATAATTTTCAAAGTGTTTTGTCAAGAGCACACGATTAAATTCACTATTCACAAAATTCAATATATAATGTGGGAAAAAAATGGAATATGAAAAATTGATTAATTAAACTTTGCTCTTTGTAACATAGTTTTCCTATAAATTATTTTATATATTTTAGCTATGTATATGTATATACATATAAATTATTTTATAATTTATATCTTATAACTTATATGTATTACCAGTGCATTCATAAATTTACTTTATTATTAATAGTTACTAATTTTTTAATAATTATGGATGATCTTATTATGTGTAACATCAAATATTTCTATCTTGACGAATACTTGACATTTCATGAATATTATGAATAAAATATCTCGAGTTTCTCTTAACCGAATAAAAAGGAGTAACGAATCGATATCTCTCTAATTTGAGAACACTCGACTCTCAATGATCACTAATTATAAGTGTTGACTGACTAAGTCACCGAGGATATGAGACAATAAACATGCAATTAAGTTGTTGAATAATTCAATTTTGCTGTTTGAGAAATCGAAGAATTTTGCACTAATAAATTATTCATATTCGTAAAAATGGCAATAATTTCTAAATATTCGACATCAGTGATCACCAATAACTAATGGCTTGCTAAAGTTAAGGGAAATAGAAATAAAGCAGTTAAACCTACGTGTCATGACAAGTAAAAATCCATAAAAAACATAGATATACTAATTACAATAGAACGTGAAACAATAGGAATTGGGTATTTTACTCCACATACAGTATTTAATTTATTTATATTTTTTTTTTCATGCATTTTTAGCTAATTTCCTCGGTTGCTTCGATGTGATACAATTTTTATATGTAACAAGCTGTATAAGAAGTGTAGTTGAAAGAAAGAAAAAATTATATTTCATACAATACAATAGAAATTTTCTATTTTTTTTATATAAAATCAAATTTATAAAAATTTTTTATATGAATAAAATTTATTTTTAATTACCTATCACTGGATATGATTAATTATTGTGAAATATATTCTTTAATGGTATCATAAGCAAGAAAATGATGTGACTGTAAATCAGCATTAAAGCAATTTATAAAACGGCAAGTGGGGAATTAGTAACTACGTGTAATTATAACTATCACAGTTATTTCTATGGTTTTTTATTTTTAAGGAAAACTACTTGAGTAGGTATTTAACTTGTAATAATAATAATAATACGTAAATTATAGTAAAATTGAAAAGATATCAAATTTATATAAATACAAAATATAAATATGTATATAATAAACAATAAATAATATATAATAAATGTATATAATTATAAATACTTGTGTATATATATATATATATATATATATATATATATATATATATACACAAATAGAAATACAGAAATTAGATCATTCCAAGTAGATCACAAATTAAAACAAATATATTAAAAGGATATCGGTTACTAAAATATTTTACAAGAATATTTTGTACACAAAAATAAATTTTAATTTACATTTACACATAGAAAAATTATTGTATATATTGATATTTCATAATTAACTAACTTATATTAAATATTATAAATGTGTAGAGTATATTTAAAAGTTATATATATTATAATATGTGTTATAAACAAAAACAATATTTGCAAATTTCATCGTATACATAATTTATTTATATAAATCAATTTCTTTATAATTTCGTTTTAATATTTTAATTAAAAATTCACATTATCCTTTAATATTTACAACTTACATTTTCAAACATCAATTTGCAATTTCTTTTAAAATTAACATTCAATTTGTAGTTAATGATCAATACGATTAAAAAAACAAAAAATAGAAAATAAAAGTAAATATAAATTTAAAGTTACTTTATATAGTATTTATATATTTATATAACTAATATAACTTAATATAACTATAACTATAACTATAACTTAATACTTTATATAACATATATAGTATAAAAATGAGTAAATTCTCATTTTGAAACAATAATATTTTTTCTTGTATCCAAATATATTTTATATACACTAAAGACTGAAGATATTGAAATCAATTATTATAATTTCTTAGACTCAAATCAATAAAGCTTATTCATACTAGAAAGTAGCCTACATTAATATTAGCATTTTTTTAAATTTTTAAATTTACATAGAGCTGACACTTCTCTAAAAATATCTTTTTAATTTCCATTAAAAGCTTCATAGTATTTTAAGAATAACTATGTGTATGGGTAGAGTGTTCAAGATATTACACATTAAAATATACTTAAATATTATTCATCAGGGTAAACTCTATTGCAAAAAATATTATTTGTTGGTACATGAGGCTTAATTCATTTGTACAATAAATTAAAATAAAATCTTATTATTTATTATTCACTGTTTTTTTATTTTCATGAAAATACTTGTATTTTAATATTATCTTTATATTCTGTGGCTATAATCATATTTACAATGTTTTCATATATCATATGAACTTAATATTGAATTATTTACATAAATAATTAAGTATTAGATTTTTTTTATAAATATATATACAAAAGATAATGTTTTCAAAAGTAATTTATCTTACTTTTAAATATATTGATAATAGAGAAACACAAATAATAACAACAGTATTATTAAGAAAAATAATACTTTTTTAGGAAAAGCGACAAAAGCCTATTATTCTTTTAAACTTCAACTGTAAAATATTCTATAATTAGGAAGTATCGATATATTA